ATATATATATATATATATATATATATATATATATATATATATATATATATATATATATATATATATATATATATTATTATATGTTTTGCCGTTTAATAAAACGAGATCGCATTTCTTGCTTCATTTTTTTCTCCTCTCATGGCTGTACGTGTTTATCTTAATGCGCAGGTTCTCGACATATACGACTGCTCTCTGGGTTTACTTAGAATCGGGCCTTTCAATTACGACCCCTTGCGAGGCGTGGATCTCTGGCTGGCGCAAACCGATCAATTCATCTTGCAGCACCTGTCAACGTCACCGGAGGTGGAGCTACCACATTTTGCACAACAGGTAGCGCAATCTGTTAGGCCATACGACGTCATTATAATTAGTTACTCTTTGAGGAGGTATTTATTTCATAAAAAAACATAGAAACAAACGAGGAGTAATATGCCACTTAAATTTATAATTGCTATTTCTAGCTTCATCGAACATTATTTTATAATAATCCCAGAATATTATTTTAATATAGCGATTTAATAATATATAAAATTAATAATAATTATCAGTAATAATAAAATTGATATTATTTTATACGTATAATGACATTAAATATATATCTTAATTTAATAATTTGTGAATATTACTTTTAATGGTAATTAAATTATCACAGTTTGAGTTATACATAAATATAATGATAATGAGGATACATAAATATAGTAATAATGAGGCAAGAAGCAAGCATGAAAGATGACGGTTGCTTTTCCCCTGAATAACGACAAAATTTCCATTTCAGGTGCGAGCGACGCTCAAGTACATTCAGGACAATCAATTTCCGGCCGTCACCGTCTTCCGAGATAACAGACCTCATTACTACCGTCGCGACGAAGCCACCGGTGTCTGGCAGCAAATACGATACTAACTCTCTAATACCAGTAAATTCGGCCGGGACTTGCGCGGCGATCGTTCGCGAAGTTGTTTCTGGACGATACGAACATGTAATGTCAAATTGCGAATCGACAAAGCACGAAGCAGGACGATCAAGCCACGGCTCAAAGTCAGACCGGCTGCTCGAATCTGGAGATCCGAACTGCGTCCCTCAGATGTAGCGGTGTCGTCGCTCAAGGGTCGCTCGAGCGAGAAACCCGAAGAAGTCGCATTTGAAAAGGATCGTCCCGCTTTACGATTGGCGAACAAATTGCGGAAGTCGGCGTGTAATTGCAGCCTTCGTCGGTTGGCAATTATCTGCGGTCGACGAGAAAAAGACGTCCGATCGGGGAGAAGCTATGGGATCGAGTATCGATCAAAGCGGTCGTAATCAGCACGCTAGACGACGTCTTCAAGTCTGCTCATACTGAGAGGCGTCCCGTCAATCGTTTTGATGTTATAATCAGAATGGAAGAGATTAGCGTTTAAAAATCTGCACCGATATGATTTGCAATATTTTCTCATTTCTCGTATCCTCGCAAATTATTGCGAATTGCGGTAAGGCAATAAGAAATTTCGAGAAACGGTTCCTTGAACATTTTCGTCTACATACAGGGTGGTTTACTCAAGTCTTAACACACCTATTATCTCCTGAATCGCTAAAGATATTGAAATACGGTTTTTACTGAGATAAACTAGACGAAGGAGCGAATTTGCTGAGTTACAATTTTTTTGTAGAATTTTTATCTGCAGAAATTCTGACTCCAACTTTGATTTGTTAAATGAATTTATATCTTTATTTTACCTTCATCTAGTTTATCTCAGCGAAAATTGCATTTCAATATCTTTAACGGTTCTGGAGATAATAGGTGTGTTAAAAGCTCTGTTATTTCTCGGGCGGCCATATTGGTTTGATGACGTCAGAAGCGAGAAATGACACACCGAAAATTCCTTGCATTTTATTGCTTTATTTTTTACTTTTCCCTGAAAAACTAAATATTTTCCTAATCTCTCTCTCTCTTATTTCTACTTCAGCTTACAATGCCAGGAAGTTCTTTATAGTTTATATCTTTATTTTACATTTTTCCTACACTCTCTTTCTTCTTTTCCTTTTCGCTACTTTATCCTATTTATTTCTTAACCTACTCCTTTTTCTTTTACCTTTTTTCCCTACTTCTTATCCTAGATATTTCTTAACCTATATTTTGGCAAATTCCATCCTTTGGATTTCTTATTCTATAATCTTGGAGATTTGCCATCTGAGAGGAATGCGAGCGTACGAAAATTTTTCTGTTCCTCTGGGAATCGAACCTGGGCCTCTAAAGTGTGGTATACTAATGTATGGACTACTGTGCTACGCTTGCACTCAAATATTTTTCTGATCCTGATACCTGTAAAAAGTACAGTAAACTCAGATATCTTGTTGATATATCACATAGCATCGTGAAATAATTCTTGAAATAATGCTACATTTTTCGGCTGTCACGGTGATTTGTGACAGTTGAGATATCAGCATGTATGAACACATTGAGTTTTTCGATTTTCACAATGTATCATCAGTATCACAGAGTTTGTTGTGAGGATTTTACGGCTGTGAGGATCACGATAGTATACACACTGCACAGAGAAACTGAAAAATAACGCAATAAGACGCAAGAAACTTTCCGAGGTGTCAAACGAGGCTTAGCGTGAGCCTGGCCTAGTGTCAGCCAATCAGCTATGTTGACACATAGCTGTTATTAGCACACATAGCATAGTAGTTATTTCGTGTTTTCGACACTGCTAGGCGTCACCGTCAATTCAGACCTTCTGCGACGAGATAGCAGAGCCTTAACGCTTAAATGGACTATCCTGTATATATACTATATATGCTACTAAGGCTATAAATATGATTTACGTTTTTGCACGTGCAAATATCTAAATAATCGGCTTAATAAACTATTCGAATCCGAATCATCTGGATCTTAATATCCGAATATCGGAGCTCATTAATCGAATTTACACCAACCACTGCCAAAAACTGGAAACGATATTGCAAGAAACGATGAGATTTTTACATTACCAGATTACTAGATTTTTTAATTGTTTTATCGAGACATTCGTGGAAGTTTTTTCTTCATTAGGCAAAGTCCTCATTATTAATTTTTCTTTTTATTCGCACATTCATGGGTTTCTTTTTATTCTCAGATTCGATCGATTGTGAAGTCAATTATCCTTAAATCCAGATTTGAGTAGCCGGGTAATAATCCTTTTTGATTGTTCGGATTTAAAATTGTTTGAACAATTTTAACCTTGGCTTATGCTGAATTTTTATAATTCGGGAGAAATATGTGAATCCTTGAACACACTTTAGAAGAAACTGACGCGCATACATAAATGCATTTGTCGAGACAAGGACAGTGCAAAAGTTTTCTAAAAAAATGTTTAAAGGAATATATTTTCAAATAGATTACGCGTGAACTTTTTAAAGATATTTAAGCAAAATAACACGTATTTGCAAGAGGGGGCGACGTGTGGCGCACAACAACTCCATTGTGAGCAGGCTTGTGCGCGCTGTGAATGCATCGGCATTGTTGAATCTCCTCTTTGATATATGCTTGTATTGCGCGATATGGACGCGACGATATCGGACTCTACGTTGTTGTATCTCTGTTGTTAGTCGTGCGCGATCGTTGCTCCATCGTTGAACGTTCTCTCCGGATTGAATTTCTTCGTCGTCAGTAGCGAGGTAAAGCAACGATACGTATTCTCATCGCGCGATTTAGCGCCAAATGCGACTGCCCGACACTTACTTCATGTATACATCACCTGCGAACTTTCCTATTAGATAACTAACTCGACAGCGGAAGGTCATGTTTGGAGTTGAATATGCGATCGGAGCGTGTACTGATAGCGCTTACGCGTCCACACTTACGCACACAAATACACACACACACACACATATATATAGTTATATATACGTATACACACAAATACAGAAGTAAGTACACACGCATACACACATGTGAAGCCACGAGACACTTATTTCGTTTTTTTTTTCTTTTGTCGTCTTGTTCTTTCAGCTGGATTACAAAAGTTCGAGCAACGAATAATTCCGTACTTGCCATAATAGGGGGAAGAAAGTTAAGCGAAAGGTAGAGGCGAAGCAGAGAACGATGTAAATAATTTTTCAGGGTTGTGCCCGAGTCTTTCGGGTGAGGGAAAGTTCCTTTGCCTCGACACGGTTAGTTTAGCGCGAGGGCATGCGAATCCCTCGAAAAAAGTTTCCGCGGAACATGGAGACACCGGCAGTCGTCTCAAGCCGAAAGTGTTTCGTGAAAATTTGGATGAAACTACATACTCGCACGCACTCGTCTCTCTCTATTACAGTAACCTTTCGAAATGGTCATACAAAACACGATTGCGCCTAATTAGTTTACGAAATTGGAGTAAAGCAGATCCGGAAGATATAAAACGCCGCTCTTGCCGCGCTCTCGGCCGAGCGGCGAGTTGTTTTGCCGAACGTGAGGCTAAAACGTGCGAGATTAGTTTTGGATGAGTGCGAAATTCTAGATTAATCGCTATCTTTATCAGGTACGACGAACGCATACGATAAGGGGAAAATTGGTGCAATAAAGACGATGCGGGAATTCGATCGATGCGGAAATCGTGCGAACGCTCGACGCGAATCTCCCTCCCCCCCGTCGTTGGAAAGCGCGAGCGTGTGCGGTCGCGAAAACGAATAATCAAAAGATGACGAGGCCTTCCCTTACCTGTGGGTTCATCGATCAAGTGCAGGAGAGGATACCCGCTTCCCGGATTGCGTTCGAGACGGCACAGTGAATTTTGCCTCACCGGCCACTTGGGAAACGTTTCACACGTCGATACTTTTCGAATGTAGCTTTCATTGAAAGAGGACGAAAAAAAATGACTCCACGTACCCAATAATTCAGCGTTATCGTCGAGCACGACTCACTCTGGCCTACTTCGCGGTAAACGTATGACGGATTTATCGTCTGCGCACGGTTGGCGAAGCGGGATTCGCTTTTATAGCCTCGTTCTCGGAATCTTGGAGTAATAAAACGCGGAAGAAGAGCGCGTTCACAATTTTTCCATTGTTCTAGTGATAGATAAGCTCTAACTGAGGTTGATTATGATAATAACGATGACGGCGATGATATTGCTGCTGCCGATGATGATGATCATGATGATGATGATGATTGTAATGATGATGAAATGATGAGATGAAGAGGATGATGATGATAACGATATTTCCTAGAAATCGAAGAGATATATTTTTACTATATTATGTAAAGAGCGAATGCACTCGTGAGAGGCGATGAAGCTCTCAGGATCGAACCCACGACACTTTTCCTTCCCAGTCGATCTGCGCGAGTAGAAGTATAGCGGGTGGTTTGCCACTTACTTTGTTGCTTCTGCCAGGAGAATATATGGCTTTTCTCGCTTGCGTCATAAAAACTTTCCGGTGCCCAGCGACACGATTATATAATTTTGTCTCTTTCTCTCTTTCTCAAGCTCCCCTTCCTCCCTTCCTCCCCTCGTGTCCCATTACCTGCTACCCTCTCGTTCGCCTTTTCTTCCTGACCCCCGAGGAAACCCTCTCCCTTGGTCCTCACGGCGCCTTCCTGTTCGATCTCTATCGCATTCTTTCTCGCGTTACGCAGACGCAGTCTTACTACATAATATTATTTGGTGATATATTTATACAATAAACGATGATAGACTAAATGCGACGTTGTGTGCGTTATTTCCATAGTGCACTTGTCCGACGAGATCGCAGCCGCATGCGAGAATTCCCGATCCTAATCTACCCTGTCTGTCGTCGAAGCGGTAAGCTCCCTCTCTGCTGATTTATCAGATATGAGTAATTTCCCACGGTTAATTTGATCGCCCAAGTAATCGCGCGTGGCGTGCGGCGCGGTCAAGTTTGCGGAGGAGCCGCCGAGCAGAGGTCGGTAACGACGTCGTTAACAAACTTGTAAACTGCTACGTAGCGAGTTGTAAACTATTACGTAAGTAAACCATCGCGAGAAGAGCGGAGAAAGGAGCGCCTAGTTTCACGCTAGTGTCCTAGAACGCGCTTATTAAATATCGATTTCAATCGACGATGGCAGAAGCCGCGAGAGAACTTTTTAATTGGTTACATCGCCTAGAGCGGAAAATCGCGATGACACGTTCCCGCTCCAACTAAGACGGTCTAAAACGCAGTGCAATCTTAGCAGCGAGTAACGTCACGTCAATGTTATTACTTCCCATTCAATAACGCAATTATTGTTATATTGCACTTGGCGTTATTGAGTGGGAGATTGTAACGCAGATGTTATCGTCACTTAATGTTTGCTGGGATCGCGCTATCGATCCCTGCGAAAATTGTTATTAATACATGGAGAGAAAATTTTGTAGTGAAAATTATTGTAGAATTTTGTAAACGAGGAATACATCAATATTCTACGGTAATTGATTATTCATACGTGCCACTCATCCCAAAGAGACAGAGATATTGATCATAGCATGCAAACATTCAATGCATATCTTGTGATACTGTAGCAATGTGTTTAACATACGACTGTGTCCAAAAAGTAAGACCAGTTTTCAATTTAAATCGCACATCATAAATATTTTTTTTCTAAGTTGGCAGCATTGTGACAGACATCTGTGACAAATTTCATGTCAAAACATTCATTACTTTTTGCTTTACGCTTGGTTTTGTACAACGCTAAAAGTGCATTCGGCGATTTTTACAATGTCTAATTATATTGAGCAAAGAAGTTGCATTAAATTTTGTTTGCGGAATGAAATTTCGGGTGCAGAAACGTTTAGGAGGTTGCAGAAAGCCTTCGGGGACCATGCTTTGTCGGAAAGGAATGTTTACAAGTGGTATAAACAGTTCAAAGAAAGTCGTGAAAGTGTTGAAGACGAAGAGCGTTCCGGACGATCATCAACCTCTACCGATGAACAACACGTCAAGAAAATCGAAGAACTTGTGCCAAACCATCAACAAAGAGTATTATTTGAGTGTTATGCGTCGTTTGCGTGAAGCTATTCGCAAGAAGAAGCCAGAATTGTGGGCAGACAATTCTTGGTTTTTGCATCACGATAATGCACCTTCTCACACTGCACTCGTTCTTCGTGACTTTTTCGCCAAAAATTCGATCCATATCGTTCCACAACCACCGTATTCACCTGATTTAGCACCGTGTGACTTCTGGCTATTTCCGAAACTCAAAAGACCACTGCGGGGAAATCGTTTTGAGACGATAGAAGAGATACAACGTGAATCGCTACGCGCTCTGAGAGCCATCCCGGAAGACGATTTTAATTCTTGTTTCGAGGACTGGAAAATACGTTGGCATAAGTGTATTGTGTCGGGAGGGGATTACTTTAAAGGCGACGAAATAGATTTGGAAGAATAAATAAATATTTTTTGAAATAAATAAAATTGGTCTTACTTTTTGGACACAGTAGTATGCTTGTTTTAAGAGATATCTATTGTGACATTTTAATCAAAATATCTCTTGTTTCTTTTTTTACTGCAATTCTGGATTTTAATTGCGTTCTCTTTCCGGCAAAGCAGCAATTTTCATGACATCAGACGACTTCTTTTATATATTAAACAAATTCTTTTTATAGGAGGATTTATATATATTTGTGTTAATTATTGAGCACAGACAATATGTTGAAATACGTTCCTCTAGGATATTTTAGGAACTAAAATGTGCTATTAAATAATTTACTATTTTTCTAGCAACGTTTGCTTTTGTTTTTACACATAGAAAAAATACTGCGTTCAAGTAAATGTTTCAAATATCTCGTAAGTTTATACACGAATCTATCACAGATTCATCAAATTTATTTAAAATATACTCTGAATCCTAATACATTTAGCATTTTAGAATACTAAATAAAAAAAAATTTGGTTTGCTTACTACATAAAGTTGAGCTAATTTTTGCTTCGATAAAGTTTTATGCTCCTCCTTCGAGTATGTGATTATGAGTTTTCCTAAAATTTGTCATGAATATTTTTGAAGAGAACCATTACTTAAGGCTCCTGGCCCCTCGCATTGTCTATCTCTTTTTAATGATGTTAGAAGCGAGAAAATGCATGCTAAAAATTCTTGCGAAATACATTGAAATAAAAACATATATCCATAAAGTAACACTTGCAATCGATTAAACAAATTTGTAAGATATTCCGTGCACCCTTTTTGCTCTAACAGTCAATAATTTATAGTAGATTAATCTGAATAGAAATAGACGAAGAAATAAGTTAAGAAGATGAATTGTATGTCACGTTAATTTACGACAAATTATTGATTGTTAGAGCAAAAGGGGAGTGCACGGAATATCTTACAAATCGATCGCAAATGTTACTTTATGGATATATATTTTTATTTTAACGTATTTCGCAAGAATTTTTAGCATGCATTTTCTCGTTTCTGACGTCATTAAAAAAAGACAGACAATGCGAGGAGCTAGGAGCCTTAAAAGAAAGGAAAGTGAATTGATTAATTACTTATCAATATAGAATGATATTTTTCTCCAAGTAGCGAAATTTACTATGTTCTTTAACCAGATAAACCTTACTGTTTCTGCACTACTATAGAGATATAGTAAAATTGAAAAGAATTTATATATGAAAAGAAGCTATTATATATATACATATATATTCTTTCCGTGCATTATGAATGAGACCAAGATCTTTGATGCGCGTTGTCTCGATTGAACGCAAGAGAGAAAGAGATCGGCGATACTTGAATTGCGAAATTCGCTTTTCAGAGGAACCAAAGGCTGAATATCTGCCATTGTGCTTTCGAATATATATATTGCGGCGTGTCATTAACAGAATATCGCGTATACGATTCGCTGAACGTCAACAGCTCAGGTGCGCTTGTGTCACCTATTTCCTAGCAGTTGCGCCTAGGAGTTGCCTGATTGTTAGGAAGAGGAAACTTCCGTTCGGAAAGTTCGCCTTGGGCGACTTAACGAGTCTGCCGGCACGCTTCGGCACAGAACGGCATTCGTAGCGAGAAGTTGATAATTCGGTTGGACGATCATCCGGAAATAATACTGTACGCGCCAGCAACTCGAAGGAGTTGCGCCTAGGCAGCGCCTCTGCAAGATGCATCGGCTAAGATGCAGAGAAGAGTCGCGCGTTTTCTCAAAGCACCCTCGGCTGCTATTTACAAAGCGGCATTTCGCGCGATTACACGCGTTCTTGTACGCAACGATAAATCATGTTGACACCCATGCCGCGCGCAATTGATTGAGAGCGATCACATAAAATAGCGTGAGCCTCTCCGTCGGCGAGTGATCGCGGCGAGAGATATTTCTTCATAAATACCGAATCCAAGAAAAAATCCTCTATCCCTCTTTCTCTTTGAATGGACGTAATATTTTTTTTTCAGTTAGTAAAGTATTAAAATCAAACGTCTTGATATGCAGAAGTCTCTAGAAATAAAGATTTAATTGAAATAACATTTAAAAAATTCGGTAAAATCAATGAACTGTATGAAATCGGTGAGAAATCATTTTACTTTTGTTTTAAGAAAAATATGTAAGTTTGTATAAATTTTCGTTAGAGTATTTATTTTTCTTCATTTTCATTGGTTAATTTTGATTCTTCTCGATTTCAATCTTTTATTATATTTTCTTTAGTTTGAAGGTAATATAAAAGTACAAGAGATTGAAGAAACGCGAATTTAGTCGAAATAACAATCAGATTCTGTTGTTAAAATCAATTAACAGAAAAACTGATAGGAAATTATTTTGTTTTTACTCCAGAAAGAACATGTATAAATTTACATTATTTGTCAGAATATTTATTCTTTTTTATTTCAATTGATTAATTTTGATTCTTCTCAATTTAAATTTTTGTATTCTCCCAGACAGCACGTATTTCTCTCTTTTTCGTCAAGAGACGTCTTGTGGACGTTCTGGAGACGTCCTTATGTCCTCAAGACATCCCTTGAAAGATCCGTATTGTCTGGGCTCTTTATATCAGGTAAAAGTAGATCAGATCTAAAAGTACAAAAGATCGAGTTAAAGATAATCTAAAAGTACGAGGAGTACAAAAGATCGAGGAAGCGCGAATTCAATAGAAATAACAATTTGAGAATTCGACCGTTAAAATCGATTGATTGAAACCGATGGAAAACCATTCAGTCTTTGGTCTGTTTGAGAGAATATGTATAAATTTGCATAAATTCATCGGGAAGTATTTATGTCTTTCTTCGCCTCAACTGAATAATTTCGATTCCTCAATTTCAATCTTTGCATTCTCTTCAGGTCGAACACGATCTAAAAGTACGAGAGAGATCGGGAAAACACGCCTGTATTAAATACCGGCTTTTCCGGCGAGCCGTCCAGACCTCCATTGTCCTCGCGTCTTCATCTGCTCCAGCCTGTTCCACTCTCCGCAATTCCCTCTTTTTGCTGCGAGATAAGAAGAAGACTGTCGGGAAAGAGAGAAGGGAAAAAAAGTGCGAGCGAAAGGACGGGCGCAGTATACACACACGTACACACACAGTGCCGTCGCGACGGCGAGTAGTAACAGACGATCGCCGCGCAGACTCCTCGAAGGCGACGCGGCCCTCGCAGTAGTCGGCGTCAAGCGCTTCGTCCGACGCGCTCAGTGCCGTCCTGTCGTCAGCTCGAGGACGGTCCTTTCCCGCGTCGCCGTGTCTCGCGATCGCACCACGTTTCCGGCTGTTACGGAGGAGGCGCCTCTTGAACGCCCGCTCCTGCTTCTCGTCACGGTGAGTTTCACTCTATTATTTTGTCTATTATTTTATCAATCACGCTCATACCACACTAAACTCTCCGGAGAAGTTCTTTTCCGAGAGTTCCCACGCTTTCTGAGCAGCTTTATCGCGCCAATGACCGGCGCCAGTGACATCTCTGTGTCTCACTAACTTATCTTAAAACGTAAGCAACAAATTAAAAACGTACAGCTGATGAAACATAAGCTAACGAGCATACGCGTCGCGAATTGCACTTGTTTATCGCGTCCGTGGTGATTCACATTCTCGAGTTGGACATGGGAATGATCGGTGAAAATCAGAGTCAAGCGTGTTAACTCACCCCGGTCGGAGCGCGTTTGAGGTAAAGAGCGTGTGTTTCGTCTCGTGAGTTATTCGCGCTTGTACGTGTGTTCGCAAATGTGAGTCATTGTTTTGTTCTATTTAAAGTCCATCGACGATACAGACACGCGTTACCGCGCGCCATCGATCCCTGATTTGTTTTTCTTTCAAATAATCTCACAGTGTGCCATAAATACACAACCTTGGCTCGATGGCTTTCCGTCGTGTTTTCACGTATATTCGCAAGTACGAGTCACTGTGTTTCGTTTTATTTAGAGTAAGTAGACAAAACAGACATGCACGTCATTGATTTTAAAAAATTTTTTAATAATAACGTCATAAATGTGTGAATTTTCTCCTCGGTCAGTAATACGATTTATGATTTAAATATTATGTGTACCGTATAATATAACGTTCTTTTTGAGCGTTCTGATTATACGTGGATATTGCGCGTGGACGATTGTGTGTGCACTGAAAAAAAGTTTGGTAATATTTACCAAATGCGTTTTACCATACAATTTAATAAATAGTAATCAATATGGTAAATGTTACCAAATGTTTGGTAATAATTACAAAATTGTTAGTAACATTAACTTTCATATAGTAATATTCACCTCTTATATTAATATTTCCCTGATACAAAAATCTTGCAGCTTGCCGATACTGAATGTGTATTTACTCCATTAAGAAAATCACAAGAAACATTGTTGTACTTATACAAATGAATTTAGAAACTTAAAAACATACGAAAAGTTTGTAGAAAGATTCCTATATATATATATAAGTGAGTGATCAATTTTCTGTTAAACATAGTAAAACAAAGCAGCACATATTTATATAAGACTGTAAGAAATACGAGAAGGGCATATCGTACCTTCCGTTAAATCATCAAGAGTCATTGACACATTGACACATTGACACCTCTTATATTTAGTTGATACTATTTCACTAAATGTAGTAATTATAACACAGGCTGGATAATTATTACCAGAAATTTTTCTCATGAGTATCCCGCGATCCAGGTCCTTAACATCCATCGTTTCTAGTAATCGTCCCATGTAAATCGCACTTCAGTCACTGCAGTTCATTGTACGCGTGACCACGATCATTTTAACATGTTGACTGCCGCAATGATCGATGTTATAATACTGCCATATATCACTAACTTATGTGTAAAACGCGTAAGCAACTACGTGCAACAAATTTAACACATAGCTGATAGGAGGTTGATGAAACGATTTGACGAATAGATATGCCGCGAATTCCATTTATTTCCTACATATTCGATGATTCAAATCGAATTCAAATTGAGTTGAGTATTAAAATCAGTCTGGCAGTCAATATGTCAATGGCTCTTGATGATTTAACGGAAGGTATGATATGCCCTTTTCGTATTTCTTATAGTCTTATATAAATATGTGCTGCTTTGTTTTACTATGTTTAACAGAAAATTGATCACTCACTTATATATATAGAAATCTTTCTACAAACTTTTCGTATGTTTTTAAGTTTCTAAATTCATTTGTATAAGTACAACAATGTTTCTTGTGATTTTCTTAATGGAGTAAAAACACATTCAGTTTCGGCAAGCTGCAAGATTTTTGTATCAGGGAAATATTTACGTTAACTAATAGTTTGGAATGTCGGTACTGCACATTTTTAACGTTCTCCTCATATATTGAGCCACTTATTGTTGCACGTTCTTTCATTGTTCAAAAGCATTTATAATTCTCTGCAGCCAATAGAACGTAAACTATGCAGAATACTGTGAGTATTTTACCGGTAAACCTTTCAAGTATGGCATTCCCTTAGGAGCAACGATAAATATGTGCGTTTAGCATTTCAAGCGAAATGACATAAGCTGCGCAGCGGAATATGAGTCGGATAATTGAAATAGAGGGTACTGAACCGTGGTATCGAACCGACAAGGCATAGTGTTTTAAATAGACACACGTGTTGGAAAAATGATTGAATTATAGTTTCGCGTTTGAAACGAAACACTGCATTAAGCCAGAACCTTAAAAATGAGTAAAATTGAACCAGACTAACTTTTCAAGCGTTGTCATTCTAAAAACATGTGTTTCGTTTTTCTACTACAACTTTTTTCAAATTCATTAAATGGCAAGAATGGATAGATTCATATTCTTTGATGTTTTCTACATTGATTAAAGAAAACAGCATTGAATTTTGATCCTTTTTACGGAAGTTATGAACAAATAAAAGTGCGCTGGGTAAAGTTTACCTATGCTCAGGGTGTGTGATTAGGGTTCTAGTATTCAATCTCTCAGATATTTAATCATTAAGAATTTATTTTGGCCAAGAAAAAAATGTATTTAAAAATTTAAAATTTCCCAAAATTTATTTTGAGAGCTTTGCAGAGATGTTGGTAGCGAATAACACTTTTTTTCAGGCGGATTATAATGTCGACGATGTATCGCATTTAAAGTTTGCACATTTTACAATATGAGAGAAGTGCAAACTTCGTTAATTTGCATAAACCTTGAATAATTTGAAGAAAAATGAGAAAACTGCAACATGTGCGATATATTCTCGGCTCAAATTTAAAACGCAAAATTTTAATTAATTGTATTATTTCTCAAGCGCGTGTGTGTGTTAGAAAGTGCACGTATCAGCGTACAGCTAATTAGCTCTTCCCATGATCAAAGTTGATCCAACGTGCAAACAGCTTGAATGAGTAATAAAGCGCGCTACTCCCCTGAAACGAACATGTTGCGAATAATCTCGACACTTATTATCTGAAAATAACGTATATTGCGTTGAATATGCAGCTTAATACACAAACTCCAAAGAAGTGTAATTCGAGATCGTTGGATGATATTTACGTGAAACTAACAAGTAAACCTACTCAAGTGTTACACTCCAATTTTGATAAGCTTTTAACATGCTGTAGTCTACGTCTAAATAAGAGACACATATTTTTTATACGTGCCCATACGGCCGGTAAGAGGGTGAAACACCCTCTTGAAAAAAATCGGTTTTAATATTTCTGAGCGAATATTATCGGAACGATAAATAATAATACAAAAAAAAGTTTCAAATAAAAGTTTTATGGGTTTTAATGAGCTTTATAACAATGCACTCAGATTTTTCGAAAACATCATTTTTTTCGAAATCTCTTTTTCCTCCCTTAATTTTGTAAAATCTGAATGCATTGTTATAAAGCTCATTAAAACCCATAAAACTTTTATTTGAAACTTTTTTTTTGGACTGAACGGCCGCTTGTTCATTTCAATTGATCACGCTCCGAAGGCAATAACGTATCCTAAAAGCGAGGATACAAATGATACAATGAGTATTGTGGTGGCAAACGCGAAATCGGGAACCACGCTTGCGCGTTGAACCGCAAGCACGCGTGGCTCTAAATTCTCGCATCTGTATTCATTAAGCGATGAATGAGTGATATTGCTATGGACTCGTACACATACAATCATTCCCATAGTTAGCTGACGGTAACTCCATTGCGACGAAGGCAGTTGCCTCTCTCGAATGGGACGAAGGAAAAAGAGTAAAGGGCTCTTATCCACCCAATTCTGCTTGAAGTGCATGACCCTTAGAACACGTTTTATGCACGTACGTGGTGAATCGCGACGTATAATTTATCGGGTCATTGGTTGTTTCGAGTTATTAGTCGCTCTTGGAAACGAAAAAAACTGAAGTTGAGAAAGAGAGAAAGAGAGAGAGAGGGAGAGAGATCAAACGAGTGCGATATATTCGCAGTGAAACTTGAAAAATTCGAACGTGATCGTTCCGCCTTCTCGTTGAAATATCGAGTCGAACAAAAGCAATATTACAGCGAGTGAATTTTTCAGGTAACGCCACATGATTCAGGACGCTTTTACGGTGTGCTAATGAGTGTTATAAAGCATAGTGATTAGGATTGTGTAATAACTACTCAGTAAACACCTACTACACCAGCAACACAACGTCGACGCTATAATTTCCTACTACAACAATATAAATGCAATATACAAATGACGTTCGCAAAGTTTTCCTGAGCGAGTCCTTCAGGCGCTTTTGTCATTTAACATGGATGCCATTAATATCTCATTAACTTCCGCCAACGATCGATATCCTCGATCGTCCCGCGAGGTAAGAAAATCGTTGGGAAACGAGTGCACGATAAGTCGGTGTTGTTACTTGCAGCTGCGGGTCCCACGACGGCTAATTGCGAACGTTCGTGTAGCGGGATCGTAATTAACTATCATGCGCCTCGGAAACGCGAACAGGAAGCTCCTCCCGATTTAACTTCTGCTTTCGATCGGTGCATTCGCCAGAAAAGTCGATTGAAAACGAGCAGCCCCTCGCTAAAATCACTCTCAACGATGAGGCACGACATAAGCAGGGGAGACCAGGTCTAGATGGCCGCAGGGATATGTTGCTCATGAGCTTTTTTAGTATTTATCTTGAGAGATTTTGTCAAACAATGTATACAAAATCGCGGATTCTTTTAGAGAACATAAGTACTTTTCCCTGAGTTATTAAGATCAAAATAATATTATAGCCAAAAAATAGAAGAAACTAATTTAATAGTAGTAAAGTAAATTTTCGAACTCTCTCTTGTCAATTTTGCATTAATATTCCCCGTCGTGAATGAATACAGTTAACCGACGTGTTACTAACTAGAATGAAGTTTTTTGTAAGTATACGATATAATA